CTGCAGAGCTGGCAGCCCCGGGTCCGTTGTTCCAGCTGGGCGACCCCTGACAGGTGATTCATCTTCCTGCCCTTCAATTGCCTTTTCTTTGAAATGAAGATGGTAATAATCTTCGAGCTCCGCTGGCGAGATTGGAAATAATGTGAGAACCTGGGACAGATGAGCTGTTCCAACAAACGGGATTAGTCGTACTGTGAGATTTGCAGATTTGTGTGATCTTTGTATTATTACTTGTTGGAAGTAACCATCAGGTGGTAAATGGCGCTTTCACTGGGGTGCACGTTTTAAACTGGAGGGTGATGGGGGGGGCTCTGACCACAGATCTATGTGCTTTGAGCCTCAAAACATACCTCAGAAGCAGGGGCTGTAATTTGACAGCGGCACGCAGGACCTGAGGCATAAAGACACGGGTAATGCAGACATAGTCCCTCCAGCAGTAAGGACAGCTGGGGTTGCCTGCTGAGTTTCAAATTCCAGGCTTGGAGAATGATCCTGCTTGACTCCCCTTCTCAGAGTACAAGTTAATAGCGTTATCTGTGTAATTATTCAGTGCCAGGTGGCAGGCACACTCACATTTTCCAGTGTGAGGCTGGTTTTCTGCTCTATTTCACAGGCGGGAGACTGAAGCAGAGAGAAGTTATGAATGTGTCTGGGACCATCAGCTAGAAATGGTGGCCTCGGGATTTGAAAGCAGGCAGCAAGACTCCAGAGTCCAGGCTCTGAGCAACCAGCTCTGCATTGTGCTCTCAGTGGGCATCCAATTTGGGGCACAAATTGTCATCGGCAAACTTGTACTGATGACTCCGTGTGACTGACATGGTGGGAAACAGGTGAGTTGTGATTTCTGCCTGTAAACTCAGTGACATCTTGCTGAACACGCACTGTGTGTCAGGCTGTGTGCCAGGCTCTTGCCTGGCACACAGCAGTCCAATGAGGTGGACTTATCCCCATTGTTCATGTGAGTGACTGAAACTCAGAGAGGTTAAGTCACTTGCCCATGGTCACCCAGCTAGTTAATGACGAATTTGGTTGTAAACGCAGCTGTTACCAACTCCCCATGGCAGTTTTTTCCCCACGACAGTGCGCTGCCAATTTACAGGAGAGAATAAAGATGGACAAGCCTAGACTTTGGTGGGAAGTTTCTCCTTCAGCCTTGAAGGACTGTCCGAATACCGGCTGAATTCTCTCTAAAAGGTCATCTGAAGTTCATAGCACAGCTGTCTTGAATACGAAGACAACATTCTTCACTTCCAGACACCCGGTACTGGGGAGGTCTGTCTGCATTTTCAAGACTGTTTGGGAAGAGTGTCCAGAATAAACTGGTTGGAAACATTTCTCAGCCTATTTATTAATGTACTTAGAATAATAATAATAAAACAATTACAAAGTTGGCGTATTTTTATGAGAATAACTATTTTCCAAAAAACAAAAAAATTTACTGCAAGCAGTGGCATTATTTTACGATTTTTGAAAATCACTTTAAAGTCTGGCTTCAGAGAAGACATCTGGAGTCTTGTATCTGCTTCTTCACGTGGTGTCACAAGTTTTCTGTGGTGTCGCAAGTCGTGTACCCTCTGGAAACAAAATCACTGAGAGATAAGAATGAGAGGATATGGAGGAAAAAGGCAAACCATGTACTCATATTTGCATGAAAATAGCTTTGACTTGAGGACTCCCTAAGAGGCTCTCGAGGACACCCAAGGGTCACAAGGTCATACTTTGAGAATGACTGATGTAGAGACAGTACAGTGACAACTTAAAACAAGTCTGGCAACATTGACATATGAACGACTGGTTTAGGAAAATGTGCTGTGCTGATTTTATGGTATGAATAACCCACGTTTAATTTCTGGGGTTCCTAGTAGAAGTTTCAGAAAGAGCTTCCTGATTCTATTTCCTTCCATTAATTATGAAACCAATAGGTTTTCAGCAGAGAGGCCCACTGCCATGCTTGGGGAATCATTAGATTTTATGCTTGGGAGAATTTTATGTATGGCCCTAGGAATGCAGACTTTTGATAAGATTTTTTAAAAAAAATCCTTCCTTTCTTTAGTGCTTGGAGATTAAAGCCTCATTTAGCACGATGGAGAGCATACCATGTTTGAATGCAGGCACATCACAGTTGGACAAGTTTAGGCAGGTGTTTTAGCCTCTCTGACCCTCCGTTTCTTCCTCTGTAACATGGAATCATCACAAAACCTGGGCTGTGAGGATTCCATTTATATACTCCACAGCCTTGGTGTGATGCCTGACGTCCAGGAAGGCACAGGCTGAATCCCAGTTCTGGCTTCAGCTGGGATTGAATGGGGCCTTTGCAATCGCCACGAGCTTCTGCTAAAACACCCCTCCCCACCGCCAACAAAAATGCTTTATTCTCCAGGCAGCCCCTCCCATTTCTGAGAGTTCTAAAAATTGTTAGAAAATTTAGGAAGCTACAACCTCCCGTCATCATTTCACATTGATCCCTGATCTTCGAACGTTAACTTAATTCTGTCCCGCCTAAGCCTTCTCTTCTCCAGACAGGACATCGGCACAGCTTTCAGCAGTCGCTGGAGTGATGTTCCAAGCCCTGCTCGTTTCCCTTTGGATGCAAAGAGGATCTGGTTCTGAACATCACAGGACTAGTTTGGACCCAAACCACAAACCGGACGTACTTTTCCTTTCCATTCCCACCTTTTCTTGTCTTTGTGGGATGAGTTCACCCTACACGTCAGCCTTGCGTTGCACCACATCCATTTAGGTGTTCTTGTTTGCTTGTTACTTAACCAGCCATGAGAGCCATCCTTGAAGGCACCTGTTGCCAGCTGAGCAAATAGCCTGGGACAGAATGTGATGCTCCGACAACTCTCCATTGCTCTGTGTTTCTCCATCTTCAGTATCACATTGGACACTATGATATTGACTTCTAGGTTTAGCCTGATGAGTAAAACAGAACTGTATTGGTTTTAGAAGGGCCTGTGCTCATCAGAGGTGCTGATGAGTCACCACCTGCTCTCTGGTAAGCTGACATCAATGTTCACTCAGCGTGGCCATGGCCTTTGCCCCACGTTGTGGTCAAAATGCTGACTCTTTCCCCAGTGCTGCCTTTTCACAATCCTTAGTGTCCTCTTTAGTGTCCCAGAGGTCAGAACTTCGAGAGTTATTACTCATTCCCAGTGCAGTCCCATTTCTGACCCAAAGAGCTACAGGAACTTCCCATTTTAAGTTCTGAGCATTTTGCAATGGCCAGCTAACGAGAACACACAGACAGTTTCAGGTGCAACGTGTTCCCCAAGATCAGAAAATCCCAGGAGTTTCACCGGTGGTGTGGCTGCCTGTTCTCTCCTCCAGCTGGAACTCAGAATGAAACCCTTTGCTGCCCCTGCTGGGCGTTGCATTTTCCGTCTACTTTGGGCTTCTCTCATGGACTCTTTGGGAAAAATACAACCTTAAGCCCTGGTTTGGGGGTTTTACAAAGCTTCGTGAGCGTGTGCTCTTTTCTGAGTTTGTCGTCAGCTCTGCTTGGGTAGGAAGCGGGATGTCCCAGCTCCTAGACTGAAGCATTCAGTTTACCAGAATTTAATGACTTTGGCTGGAGCAAGCCTGCTTTTGCCAGCATAGATGTTTGGAAAACTCACCCATCTCCTCTCTAGTTCTTCTAAAGAAAGGAATCCTTACTGCCTCTTCCTGCCGTGGAAGTGAGGCCACCCACCTGGAATGGTCTTCTTCCAGCCAGGCCTGTGGCGGCAGAGCAGTAAGTCTCAGTGTGGTCAGACTTCTGAGCCAGGCAGATGCACCTGATCCTCTGAAAGGGACCAGGAACCTGCTTGAAGGGTCCACAGGCGTTTAATGGTTGGAGCTTGGGAGGGACCACAGGTCTGAGACCTTGGCTCATTTTCCTTTTTTTTGTCCACCTCCAGTAGATTGAACCAACTTTTGGAAGTGCAAGGTATAAATTCTACTGGCATCCTGAGCACCTGCAGAACCCTCGGAAATAAACTAGAGGGTGTTTGAGATGGGTTGTTTAACAATCACAAATTTCTCCTCCTCCTCCTCCATGTATACTCTGTGCCATGTGGCTCTTCTGCTCCTTCCTTTGAGAAATGGAGTATGTTTGCTGCCCCCATGAAACAGAGGCACGGCTATATGACTTGCTTTGTCTCGTGGGACATTAGCACACATGAGACATGTTGGCTCAAAAAGCATGTGTGCATTGGAGTTTGGTCTCTCTTGCCTCCTGAGACCTCCATGTAAAGAAGGCTGGGCTGATCTCCTTAAGAAGGAAAGAACATATGGAGAAGGGCAGTCAGCACCAACTTCAGGACATATGAAGCCATCTTGGATCAGTATCCCAAGTAATCCATCAGGTGATCGGGGACCTTGTGTGACCCCAGGTGAGACCAGCAGAAGACCTGCCTGGCTGAGCCCAGCCCTGGTTGCCAACCCGAGAATCATGAACAGTAACCCACTAAGTTCTGGGGCATTTTGTTACACGGCCATAGATAACTGATACAACTAATGAGGTATCCCACTGTTGAGAAGATCATAGTTGATGCCAGTATAGAAGAAATCAGCAGTAAAATGAGAACAACCCCCCTCTCCATTTATTCAAAGACTTAACAGAGAAGCTACTAATATTCTCTTTGAACATATGGATTCTTTTTTCTATAAAATTGAATGAAAGTAATTTCCTTTAGTCACTTTGGTTTCTGATATTTCTTATCCTTCTATTTTGTCCCTTCTCTTATTTTTTAGTTTCTCTAAAAGAAACATCTGCTTTTTAGATACTTTAACTCTGCAGAAATTCCTCTCTCTACTTGGGGTAATACCATAATGTTGAAATTTCCTTTGCTTTGTGGACATTCTTTGGTTCCTGCACATATAGCTTTGTGACTTCCTTTTTTCAATTTCTTGAAGATAGGAATTAGGAAAGAAGAACATTTTTTACATTTCTTAATGTTTTCCTTGATTTTTCTCCCAAGAATTAAATACATAATCTTTATATTATAACCGTTTGAAATGATCAATATTCTTTATATAAATCTCAATACAGAACACTGTCTTCTGTACAACAGGAATTGGCCCTTCACACACACAAAAAGATCAGAATCACATGATAGGGAAAGTTGTGAGCTATGAGCCACTTACTCTTAAATCTCATCATTAGAATGCATCCCTCATGAAAGAGTCTTCCTTTCTCTCTGAAAAGTCATATCTTTCAGCCAAAACTTTAATATCATTGTAGCTCTTCTTTGACGTTCATGCATTTAGTCAACTAAACCTTCATTAAACACTTTCTGTATACTTGGCTCAGTCATGGAGACATAAAGATGAATACAAAACTCTACCTTCAAGAGAGAAAACATGATGATGGAAAAACAATATTACTTTAATATGCTAAAAATGTAATAATAGACCTGCAGAAGGCATTACAGGAATTCAGAGGTCCCTGGGTGCATGTTTGGGGGTGGCTGCGAATCAGGAAAGACCTGACGAAGGAGATCCTGGATTAGGCTGTACATTAAAGTAGGAGTCAGTCACGAGACGCGAGCGGGCTGTGAGCCGGGTGTTGAAGTCGGGGCACACGAGCTGAGACACACAGTCACCAGACACAGGTGTGGGGGCGCCTGGCCAAGGCAGGCTTCTCTCCTGCCTCTCATTGTGGTCACCGACACGGTGCATTATGTGATTGGCTTAATGATTTCGTTTCACAGGTTGCTGCATTTTTAAGCAGGCAGTTCTTCATGTAAAAGCCCGTCAGGAAAGAGCCCCTCCCCCCAAGAGAAGCTGTTTTAATTGAACAAAGGTCAAGAAGTTCCTTCCTGAATGATCAAAACCTTCCTGATTATACTAGCGACGTGCTGATCACAGACCGCTCCTTGGCCATTTCTACTGCATTTACAAGAATCCTCTTTAAATAACATTTTCCCAAAAGTGATGTGAGAAAAGTCAAACAAAGGCGCCTACAAGTGGTTAACAGACAGGGAAAAACAAAATGAACAGAGAAGCTTTTAGGCTTCTTTGCTTTGAGACAAAGGAAAAATAGTATACCCCTTTCTCTTTAAAATATAATTTTTAGGTTAAAAAGTGGGCTTTCCTGACATTATTACATATATTAATTTTGCATACTTAATGCAATCTTTTAAAAGAGGTAAAATGTTTTCAACAGATGTTCCTTTCATATTCTAGAACGTTTAAACGATACAGACAAGTAAAAGAAGGCAATGCAAATCTCTCACAATTTCTCCAGTCTGAGATAAGCCCGGTTAACAGTCGCTTTTTGGTTTTCTTTCCTCACCTCCAGGGTGAAGGGAGCAGCACTGGCAGGTTTGTTGTGGGATGAGCATGGTCTGTGCCTGGAAGGCATATACTGACGTTCCGTAGGTGGAGGCGGTAAATGATAAACTCAAATAAAAAAATCCCATCAGCTGGATGCCTGTAAAAGGCAAGTTCTGTGGGAGCTGTGGGGCCATTTTGTGCTGTGGGTTGTAATGAATGGGGTCTGCAATTTGAGGACCAGAGTAGGGGTCAAGCTGAATCTTTCTTTGTAAGAGAGGGGGGAGGATTTTGAGGTCCATTTTGGGGAGGGGCAAGATGCCAGACTAGGGGAAGGAAAACAGGATCAAGAGAGGTGGACATGGCACAAGGGATGGGGAGATAAGAAAAACCCTTGAAGCTGAAGGATCTGGGAAGGAATTTTGGTTTAACGTGAGCTGATCGAGGCATCGGCACCTTCTGGGATTCTACCGAAAATGCCAGGCAAGTCTTCATCACTTGCTAATGCTTTTGAGCAACTAGATTCTTTTTCTTTTGACATGGGGTCCTTGCTACCCAGCTGTTTATTATCTGCTCGCACGACTGCGACCTCTTAGCATGGACACCTGCTCACCCTAATAGGTCTTTGGGAAGAAACTCAAAACTAAAGAATTCCTTTCATTTCCCCTCCATGTTCCTCTTCCCGTGGCGCTGGGAATCCTTCTGAAGATGAGTAGAAAGAAAGCTTGGAAGGTTCTGGATTTATTCTCCTGGTGGTCTCATGGAAGCTTCTGGGTGGACCGGGGAACTCTCTCTAGTTTCTGAAACTCTAGTGAATTTCAGCATACCCCTATCCTCCTAGGGGTCTGTAAACGCCATCTCTGCCTAGAAGGGGAGTCTTATCTGGGCTAGAGGGGGCACAGAAGCCAGAGGCAAGAATCTAGAAGGTAGGACTATCCAGAGCATTAACAAAACGAAGGGTCCATGAGCAGTTACACAGGTGGGGTTGGAGCCGGAAGACGTACAGGGAGGTCAGAGATGCTTGCTTCCAGCGGCATCTGTGGCTCACACTTGCTTTTATGACCCCGTAGTGTGAGAGGATGGGTTTGCCAGATGGGAAAAAATTTAAATCTTACAGACAAAGCTTAAGGACCCCTTGACTTTCATCCCCATGTCCCATAATTAAAAAAATTTTTTTGAAGTAAAGTCTTTTGTTTAAATGAGATTTTTATGTAAAAGTTTACTGTTCATCCAGTAAATGCATGAGTATCCCCTGTACACGTGTCCCATGTACTATCATTTGCTAGGGACGCAGCAATGAACAAGGTGCCTGCCCTATGAAATACTCACATAGGATGATTTGAAATTGTGATGCCTGCCGTGAAGAACTGCACCCGGGGTAAAGGGACAGAGAGTGACCGAGGCACTGGAAAGAGGACTAGGCAGATACAGTGGTTGGGGATGGCTTCTCCGAGAAAGGGAAACATGCCTGTCAAGGACAGAACTGATGCAAAGGCCCTGAGGCAGGAGCCAACATGGCCAAGGTAGCTGAAGCGCAGTAACTCACACGAAGAGTTCGTTGTAGCTTATTTTATACCTAATAGTTTGTACCTCTTAATCCCCTTCCCCTACGTCGCCCCTCCCCGCTTCCCTCTCACCACCGGGAACCACTACTTTGTTCTCTGCATCTGTGAGTCTGTTTCTTTTTTTGGTTATATTCACTAGTTTTCTTTATTCAAGCCTCGAAACACCTCTAATCGGGGCATATTCTAATGGTTGTTTTACAGATGGAGAAAGTGAGGTTCTGAGAGGGTAGGCAGTTTGCTCAAAGTCACACAGCCAGTAAGCAGAGGGGCCTGAGTGCGGCTCTGTCTCAATCCACAACCGGACGTGAACTGCAACGCGCTGCTGGTGCAGAGGCAGAGGCAGAGGACGCGGTCAGACCTCTGGAAGCTCATTGAGAAGGAAGGAGTCTTGCTTGTTTTTTGTTCTTGATGTGGCTTAAAAGCTGCTCTGCCTGGAGGGATGGAATTGACCAGGTGACTTCTTGGGGTCCACCCTAACTCTATGAATTTCCCTTTTTGTGAAATTCTGAGTTTTTTTAAAAAAGAGTTTTCCATAGTAAATACTTTGGATGGTCGAGTACAATTTTTTTTCTCTGAACTGCATCTTAATAAGGATTTAAGTGGGCAAACCACCAGGAGGACATTCATCCATGAAATCGGAAGTTTGTCATTTGGATACTTGGCCCCGGTTTGACCAGATTCCTTCACTGAAGTTGGGGAGCTGGCTGGCCTCAATTTTGGCCAACCTTGGATGTGAGGTCTGCTTTTTCTTTTGGGAAATCGGTTCCAAGAGCCTTTGGGCCCCACTGCTTTGTCGTGAAACTGTGCCCTCAGGTCTCTCTGGGGAAGCGGACACAGGGGGTCCAGCTCCCTGTTACCAGACTACAGGCCCGCGCTAGGGGAGAAGCCCTCAGCGGGCCAGCATCCTCCGCCCATCCCACAAGATCTGCGGCCTCATTTAAGGATCCATGATGCACAGGTCACCTGCTGAACACCTACTCTGTGTCAGGCCCCAGGCCCTTAAGGTGTCAACAGTGCTGGGAGGAGCTGTAGCCCAGGGGAGGGGATACCCACCCATGCAGGGGTCTCCCACTAATGGACAGCTCCAGGAAATATCCCCGACTGATTTCAGATATTAGTTCCAAAGGGTTAGGAACTGCTAGGCAGAGCAGAACCATCAAAATGAACACTAGGTCGAAATCCATCAGCAAATATGATTCAGGTTGCAAAAGCTGAATTTGCACCACTCTCCAGGAATCAGGAATTTTAGAATCTAGAGGAACTTAAGAAGTTCCCTAGGACAGTAGCACTTACTGCATAAAAATGGTGTTGTAGCCATTGTATTCTACCAAAAATGTATCCTGAGCAAGCTATGAATTTGATATGGTTTTAGAATTTTAAGTAAAATTTGGAAGGGATTTCTCTTAAAGGATTGGTTATGTATTTATATGCAAGAATTCCCTATCTTCTTTTTTAATTCATATTTTGCTTATTTGCTCTTATGATGCCGTATTTTTTTTTTTTAATGATTTGTTCTTATAGCTTGAATCTGGCGCTTTTGTGTTTTTTCTGGGCTCCCTGTTAAAGGGGGAATTTTGTCTTTCCTTTCCTTGACTGCCATCTAGAGGCTTATTGGGGTAATGACATGCGGAGAGCTGGGAGAAGGAAGGGGTGGTGGGGTGAGCAGAAGGAATGGATTCTTCTCTCCTGCTTTACTTTCTGTGGAATGCTCATATGCGTCTGTGTCTTCACAAATATTTCGATTCTGAGGTTGAAAGTCTAAATGGTCTTTCTACGCTCTGCTCTGCCTTCTCTCACTTTGATAAAGCTGGCAGTTTCAGACAGTCCCTCAGCCTCAAGTCCAGAGCAGCAACAGCCGCCTCTTCATTTGATGCAAAAGCTGACCTCCTTACCTTCTTGGCCTGGGGGTGTTAATCTGTGCCCTGAGATGCAGACACCAAGGTGGAATCAAATGAGGAAGGATTTTAGGTCCAGAGATGGTCATACTGAGCGAAGTGAGTCCGACAGAGAAAGACAAATACCATGTGAGAGCATTTATCTGTGGAATCCAAAAAAAGGACGCAGATGAACTTACTTACAAAACAGAAATAGTCTCACAGACCTAGAAAACAAACTTATGGTTACCAAAGGGGAAGGGAGAGCAGATACACACTACTATGTATAAAATAGATAAACAATAAGGTCCTACTGTAGAGCACACGGAACTGTATCCAACATCCTGTAATAACCTATAAGGAAAAAAATCTGAAAAAAAAATTTATACCTGAATCACTATGCTGTGCACCAGGGACTAACACAACATTATAAATCAACTCTACTTCAATTAAAACAGAAAAGAATCAAGGAAGGATTTCAACAGAGGATCTGCCCATGAGAAAAAATTAGAAAGGCGTGCAGGAGGCTGGGAGAGCCAGCAGGCTGCCCCGCGAGTCGGCCTCCTGGTGACAGAGGCGGAGGACAGGTTGGTGGGGAGGCTGGGTGTGGTCTCGGGAGGCTGGGCACGTCTCTGGAATCCCCGCAGGGGAGCCCGTGTCTCCCTGGCGAGCGTGTGCATCAGAGCCCTTCTCTGCCCATCACTGGGTGGGTGGGCTGGGGAAGCCGGGGTGTCGTATCTCCGCAGCGGGACCTGGTCAGTTTCCCTCCCTGGAGCTTGTGATACTGCCACCAACCAAGGTCCCGTGTGACCTTGTCCCCCCACCCGGGGTCTCTCTCTCTCTGACTTTCTCGCCCAAGTCGTATCCAAGCCTCAGGGGCCTCCTAGTCCACCCACCCCAAGCCTCAGGGCTCCCTCCCACCTGGGCAGTGTGAGCTCGCCTTCGGGCCCACAGCCTGCCGCTTCCCGAGCCTGGGTTGCTTCCTCCAAGCATTCGCTCAGCTAGTGTCCACCACCCCCTCTTTCTCCATCTTCTCCCAAGGCCAGGCTTGACGCCGTATTTTATATTTCTATCTGCATCGTCTACACCTGCATTCTTAATGCCACAACCTGTGCTTCCTTCCTTGTTTCTAAGAGGCTGTGTAATCTACTGACTTACTCTGTCTGTTTTAATGGTCTCCCTCCCAGGAGTGTCAGCTGGATGAGCAGCGACCTTGGTTCTATGTCCTAATATAAACCAATAACTAGAGCACTGTCTGGCATGTGGGAGAACCTATAAATCTTTGTTGAATGCATGAGCGCTGCTTTTCTCTGACCCTTTTTGTATCTGTATCTCCATCAGTTCTCTCTCACTTCTATTAGGAGCCTCTATCAGTTGCCATCCCTGCGCACAGGTGGTCACTCACCTCCCCGCATCCTTCAGCGGGTGTGTGAGCAGCCCCCATCATGGCCCCGGTGAGACAGCAGCAGCGATGCTAAGTCACCTCCAAGGCTACACCATAAAAACACGGTGCCGTCTGCCTCTCTGTCCCCAGGATCACTGACTCTGGGGGAAGCGAGTTGCCACATCAGGAAGATGTCAAAGTGTCTGAGGAGGGGCCCACGGAGGGAGGAATGGAGGCCTCGGGCCCACAGCCTCGTGAGGGAGCCTCTCGGCCAGAGCGGATCCTTCAGCCCCGGTCGAGTCTTCAAAGGATGGCAGCTCCAGCTGACACCTGCCTCGTGGGTGGTACTGAACCAGCACCTCCCAGCCCAGCTGCTCTCGGATGCCCAGCCCTCAGAAAATGTGTGACACTGCACATGTCTGTGGTTTTAAATACCTAAGTTTGGGGTAATTTGTTGGACAGCAGTAGACAACGAATAGTGTAGGTGTTGATTTTAGAGATCATGAACCTGAAACTCACAGACACTGACTTACCTAAGTTTGGGCACCTCAGGGGTGGCAGGCAGGGTTTCACTCTCCAGAGGGGCCAGAGTCCACTTGGCCCCAC